CCCCCCCCCAGCCCTCCCAACTCTTTCACCGCACAGAGCATTTTCTCCTTACAAGACAAACTCAGATCGCTCACACGTGCCGTAGGATGGTACGGGGGGCATACAAACGCTGTCATTTCATCCTCGCGCAGGCCTCTCTGTCTGACAGAGACGTCAAACCACCACTTTCCCAAAAGCAGCAGGCACCACGTCGACAGACACACACTTTTGCAGACGTGTCGCTGCCTTGTTGTCTGAAGGTACCGTCATTTTTTTATTTTTTTAACACGCTTTTTCCTCCAGCGCGCACAGCCGTAGAATTCAAATGGTTCTCTTTCTGAAAGCTGTGATGGAATATGACATGCTAATAATATTTCTAAGGCCCTGGCAGATAGCTTTAACGGCTTACTATGCATGTTTTCTGACCTTTGTTTTATTTGTTTCTTTGCCACAGTGACCATTGAACCTGGGCTTTGTTGGAAATGGCAGATAATCTCCTGCTTTGCATGGGCAAAGCTTTCCCTCCATGGAGCCGAGAATGTGTCTATCTCCTAACCCTGAGGCAGGGCCATTCTCTTGCTCGAGACAGAGAGAGAAAGAAAGGGAAAGAACTGGAGAGAGAGGAAGAATGGAGGGAGAGCGGTAGAGGAATGGAAAGCAAAGGCATCTGCAATGCAAATGGGTGCCCTGCAACCCTGAATAATTCAAAGTGTTGAATGGAAATCTTGCTTTTCTGATCCCCTGTCATTAACTTCTGCCGGAGTGGGCCATTCTCATTTGGGCTCTTTTGGCCTGCACACCTCCCATTCTGTACCACTCCATCCCCCCATCTCTCTCTCACCCTCTCCGTCTGTACTTTTGCTCTTGCCCACTTTACCTCTTCGTCTTTAGAAACCACTTTCTCCCTCCGCTTATTCATAGAAACTCTGCACGCCTGTTGCCCTCCCGTTTCCCTCTCAGGTCCTCTTCACTGATAAGCCACATCGCTTCCTTCCTACCGAACTGTTTGAAAAGAATTGAGAGGAGAAGAAAAGAGGCCCCACTCTGTTTTTATGGCCCTAATTTCCTTGTACAGTTGATCTGTGGATTATACGCTGCCAGCAGCCATGGGGGATACAGATGGTGAACCTTTGTGAGGGCCCTCTCTAAGCTCTTCCTATTAAAAGAACGGAGAGAAAGGATTATCTCTCACTTGCTGAATATCAGATTCATACACAATGCAGCCGGTGTATTCATTGAGCGAGTACTGCTCCCTTTGTTAATTGCTGCAATGGTACTGTAGCAGTGGTGGAGTTGGTTTCTCGCGCGTTTTCTTTTTTTTTTGTTTCTCCGTCTCACCCCCCCATTCCAATCCTCATTTTTGAAAAGTAAGATGTTTGATGTTACAATGCACCCAGCCAGCCTTTGTCGCTGCTGTGGTGAAAATTCTATTTTCCTGTTTTGCTTTCGTTTATTTTTTTGCCTTTAATGTGTTGCTTTCTGTGTCCGTCTGCTGCTTCAGCCCCCATTGAGCTGAGAGGGAGCGGCTTAATATATTATTTGATGGATTAGAGCCTGAGCGTTTTTGAATAATTCATTCTAGGTTATTAATGTGACTGTCAGCCGCTGGTGTTTCATATGCCCCTGACTCTGGGTTTTTATTGGTCACTGAAAGCCCACAGACATTGGAATTCTATTCCTAAACATAACACTGTACAGTCGGCATAGCTGTCTGAATTAGACTTGTGACAGATGTGGAGATTCATTAGTGGCTGGCCTTCTCTCCCTATGACTGATATTCTCTACACAGTACTGGATGGAAACTTTGTTAGATTTTGTACTCTGTGTTCTCTCTGACCTATATCGAATTTGCATAGTAAAGTTTTTATTTTATCCGTTTAGAGTTGGGCTCAGTTTAAAGGTAGGAAAACTACCAGATGCGTTAAGCTCAGGGTCTAACAAAAAGCAAAGATTGTAAAGAGCATTGTAAATAGGTAATCTACCTTGATACAATTTGAGTTATTTCATTTGTAAGCAAAAAAAAAAAAAAAAAATCAAAAAGGGATTTGAAATAAAGCTGGGATTTTTTTTACTGGATTCAGATTCAACCCAGTTTTCAATCCGTGTCATTAGGTTTTTTAGGAGCTGGTGAATCAATCAGATGTTCTTGGAAGTTTCAAAAGGATGTCTAGTGCGCTCTTAAAGCCAGTGTCCTCACTACAGTGGCAGTGATTCTTCATGCGCATATTCTGACAGGTTTACCTCGCTCGTATGCCTCCTGTGTTTTGTGCTGGCTGCCCTGGCATGGGAGACTGCAGACAGAGTGATTTGGCCTGGGCATGATGTTACTGCAAGATGAGCTGCAGAGAGATGCTAGCATGTAATTGCCAGGTGAGTTCGCTGAGCGCCTTTGTGGGCTGTGTGTATTCAGGGCTTCAGCTGCAACTTTGCACGCTGATGGGGTGCACGGTGAACACACACAGATCTTCGTTTAATGATTGCGGCAAGTTGTGCGATTGATTGGATCGCTTTGGGGCACACTTTTTGCACGGACAGCCGCCTTGTCAAGAGTGTTCTCGCTAGAATTAACTGCATATCTTGGTTTCTTCATCCACAGGCCCTTTGATTGACACCAAAGGTGTTGCTTTGAGATTTTTAATACCTTTATAAGTCTCTTGAGGCCCTCCTGGTTTTTTCCTCCCTCCCGGTTTTTTCCTCCCTCCCTGCTTACCCCACCGCCTTCGCCTTCCTCTTGGAAGAAGTTTTGAAAATCTAATAAGAAGCCAAAACTTTGAGTTTCAACGACTTTGAGGCCTCCATTTGGGGAACTTTCCGAATCTGCTGTGTCATCATAACATGATGAAAACTGCCTTCCGGCCCCACCCACACCCCCCTAGCCTCAGTGTTCACACACTTGAATACATTATGAGTGATAGTTGAAAGACATTCAAAACTTGGTCCTAGGAGGGAGTTCTTATCCTCCCACAGCTGGTCTCCAGAGGAAACATCTGTCACATAGCAGCGTCTAAGACTGAGGTCCACATTATGGTAAAACCACAAATCTCAGGGCTGATGCTTAGTGGAAAACATCCTGTGTAGAACCGCTCCCCTCTCAAGAGCCTCCTGCGGTCAGCCTCAGTGAGACGCTCGCCCTGTCATGCCAAGATTACAGAGGCCGTGCTTACTGATACACATCTGCAAGGGGTTTAGTGGGATGCTGTGTTTGTGGACGACTTCAAGAAGAGTTTAGTTTTATAGATATTGATTTATAGATACATTGTGTTGGGATTTTGGATGCCCATAAGCATTGCAGTAAATTAACTTTTTGTCTAAAACCCACAATGACTAGGGCTTTCCAAATTCACAAGCTCCTTTCATTATTTTACCACTCAACTAGATTTTCATATTAGTAAAGGGCCTCCAAATGAATGAGAGCCTGTTACTTGCCAAAGTGGCTGCTAGGGTGAGACAAAGTTGTCGGGCTTAATCAAATTTTACGAACATTTGGGCAATGGCTGGTAGTAATTTCCCACTCTGTTTAGAAGTAAAGGGCATGCAAGGCAGATAGAGTGGGTGTCCATTTGTGTTTGTCTTTGTGCTAGGTGGTTTGTTTGTATTTTTTTATGGTTTCGGTTATGTAGGCTGCATCTCCTCTGTTTGTGTGTGTGTGTGTAAATGGCCTGTTAGCCATCTGAAAGCAGTTTCCCTCCCCAGATGATGAATCCCTCATATGTTTTTGATGTCGTCCATGAAAGCAGTTTGCGCATTGAGACTTGCAACCGCACCGCGCCCCATTTCCACTGGCTCATTTATGCACATAATAAAAACCGCTGCACGATTGTATACCCAATTTGCCAGGTGGTTATTGCTTTCTAAATTGAATGAGCCACCCTAAGTGTGATGGTTCGAAGTTGTACGGAGCTTAAAGGCACCATGATAGTTCCACTGATTTTAGTAGAAACAGTAGAGGAGCAAAACAACAAAACACACAAAGGAGAGTTGACTTGTGTAAAGGAGCTGACTATTGCAACCGAATGAGCTGGAGATGTTGCATATCATTCCCATAGAGAGAGAAATCTGGGATACTTGTCTTGTTCTTTGCTTGCTGTGACAGCAGCTCTCTCTCTCACAATTTGGGACCAATCCTCTATCGAATATCTTTCTTTGTCCCTTCTCTTTTGTATGTGTGTGTGACTGTGTGTGTGTGACTGTGTTGGTGTATGCACATGCTCTACAATTCAAGTAAGAATCACCTCATTCTGCGTGTTGTGTGCCCGAGTTGTGTAGGCGAGTGACAAAAAGGGCATTTTACTTTTGTCTACACTGTCCATGAATAGGTTTGAGCAGTACATAAGTCTTTATGTTGGTTTGTACATGTTTTTTTCCGGCCTATTCATACCTTAGCATGTGAGACAGGCTCAGTCTGTCACTCTTAATTCTAGTTTGATGTTTATATGACCTTGGCTAGTTCCATTTCATTGTGGTGATGCAAACATCCCTTCCTCTCCTCCTCTTGCGCTATGACAAGGGGGAGGTGGATCTGCACGGGAACCCCGAGGTCATTTCACCGCCAAAAAGCAATAAAAATGCACTCCTACTTTTAATAAAGCAATTATAACTCATTGCCGAGTTCAATTAATTTAAAGTTTTCCATTAGGGGAGAAGTCTGAAATTGCCTCAGAATTGCTAGAATTTTTTTTACACCAGCAATGCACTGGTGGAATGTCACGCTTTTGACAGTTACTTTAAATTTGTATGGGTGGAGGTTGAGCACTGGTTTCATACGTTACAGATTATAGTATTCTGCACAATTTACAGCAGATACTATGGACGGTTTGCACACTGCCTGTTGAAACTTAATTGTATTGATCTGTTTTAATTGATACGTAGTTTCTCGCTTTTGTCTCTCTTCTTTTTCAGGTGCTGTGTATTTGGAAGGAGGCTTGGACGAGGCCCGGCAGCTCTTTGGCAGACTGCTTTTCAACACAGAGGTAACTGACAAAATGTATTATTCAGCTCTAATTGGGTTTCTGCCCTTTGCCTCTCTGTAGTTTTATGAACAGGATGTGTATTTGCATGCGTGCGTGTCTCTTTCTTTTTGTGGACGCTCACATCAGTGATAGAGATGAGCTGCGGCTACGCTAGACGATTTTCCTTTTTCGATCTGTGGAAGACATAACTAACGTTTCCACCAATCTGGTCTCTTTTATTTGTTCAAACCCACACACTGCGTGTTTGGCAAAGTACCACACATTGCACAATATTGAGGCCTTGCCAGTCTCAAAACCTGCGTTCTCACATAATCTCGCTTTACCCTGTAATACTTTTCACTAGCTGCTTATTGTGCGTACGCTGATATACACAAAGAAAAACGAAAAGACTGAGAAAAAAGAAAATCTGGATGAAGCCATAGCTTGGCTTGTATATTTAGCAAAATGAACGGGAGGTGTGGAACATTGTAGTTTGCCAGACTTGAGCAGGACACCTGCTATTGTTTGTGAGTGTGTGTGTGTGTGTGTGTGTGTGTGTGTGTGATCAGCAAGCATGAATAATTGATGATGAATCAGTATTTGCATTTATCTTGGCAAGAAATGTTATGAATCAATTAAATGACTTGCAACACATCTAGTATGTAGCAGCAGGCTTGGTTCTAATTGGGTATTGAGGGTGTTTGTCTCAGATTCAGTTAGTGACTCCCACACACTTCAGGACACATGGCGATCTACCAGACTTGTTTGATCAAAATTGGTAGTCTTTGAGAGACCTGATCAGAGGCTTTAGGACTAAATCTTTGAAAACCTCACACCGCAGAACAGCTGGAGAAGCTTATCATTATTGGCTTAACCCCTCCTGAAATGTGTTTAGTTGGAATCTTTCAACTTGACTGAAATACTTTTTCATAAACTACTTTTTATTAATTATGTAGTTCTTTACGGTACAAAACCAACCATTCTATGTTCTGTTTTAAATTTTATCTTTTTATTTGCAGTTTTTAAACTTTAATGGACAAAGCATTTGGCCTCGATTTGTCTCCATGCGTGGTCAAATTTACTATGAGTCTTTTTTGACTGTGACCAGCCATTGTGTTCGAGTGCTGACAGAGTATTTGCTTCTGCGTGTGGAGCTGAAACGTCCTTGGTTCTGTTATAATGTAATCCTCTGGCCATGAAAGTTGACAGCAGTTATCAAGTTATTGAGTTATCATGAGCTTGAGGTCTTTATTTGTATGATGAGAGATTCCCTTATAAAGACAGATTTTTGGAGCTGCTGAACAGATATGGATTTAAAAAATAATAATAATCATGCATTGCAGTAACTTTAATGTCTTCTAATGCAAAAGAAACGCATTGATACCCCATGGCAAAAGGGGAACCAAAGTAGACAATGTGTATAATGTGAGATGCGGAGTGTGAGCTTAGATAAATGGGGAATAAGGTCCTTCAATCTCAGGGATGTAGACAGGAGCTAAACCTTTCAACTTAAGTAATCAGAGAGATCTTAAAATCAATTCTAAAATCTAATGGGAGCATTGTAAAAGGATGGCTAAAATGCGGGATATGTGATCTCTATTCCTTGTTCTACTTTAAAGTGTCTCCTAAGCATTTTCAAGCCGCTGGAGATGAGTGTGAGCTTTGCAGCTTATGTAATAAAACAAGGAATTAAATTGGTCAATACAAAAGTAATAAAAGCATAAAACTTTCTTAAGCTAAAACGAAAAAAGAACATTTAACAGCCCTTTGTACATGACCTTCAGTATATATTGAGAATAAAAACATATTTCCTTTTTAAGATATTTCTTTATGTTTTTATTCACCACAAGTTGTGCTTTTTTGTCTGCTGAGCAAGGTAACATTCCATTTTTACCAGCTGACTTGACTAGTTGCTGCTCACACAGGAATGCTCCAGATAACTGAAGACTGCCTTGTCTTCAGCACTGCCTGGAATTGGATTGACTCCTTGTTACTAACCAGTACTGTCTTCAATCTCTCACTGTGGTGCCCCTGATTCGGATTCTCCCTAGGAATTTGTCATGACACGGACTTTCTGTCAAAGGAAACACAAAAAGACAGCAAGAATCACAAGCACTCGTCATACCAGTGGAAAAAAAACAAACAGGTTCCTGGTCACACGTGCATCCTTCAAGGGGGCACTGCAGGTGGCATACACCAATCCACTGTGCTCCAGGCATACCCTCAAAATCAAAGCAAAGATGGACAATCCATCCTGACAGCCAATCACTTCTGGCGTGGTATAGTTACAATAATAGTCCAATATAGTCCGAGTTGCACTGCGAAAAACCTTTTCAGTGCGCAACAATCAATAATAAAATCACAGCCATTAAATGCTGTCAATATGCTTAACTCTACTATAAAATTCAGACCACACAGTACAACTATGGATGCTGAGGGAACATATTGACTATGGTGCAAACCAAAGTTAAGGGATTTTAAACTTTGGCCTGAAACTTTTGAGACATGCAGAATAGGGATTGAAATAGTATGGCTTTGTCACCCCCCTGCTGAATTCTCCTGATGGCCGCTCTGTCATACAAAGCTGAGAGGAGACAGATGGACTCAGACCAGAAAGCCAAACACCAGCCGAGTGGTATGACGGGTGTGGGTGTGGGGAGTTGCGGGGCAGACCGGAGAAATGGACGAACAGAGGGAGAGAGAGAAATGTCTGTGGTCTGCAGAACCACTTCAGTCTTTCTGTATTTCTAGCTTAACACGTCAAAATGGGTCTTCACACAGCACATTACCAAACTAATGAGATGCTTTGCAAAACTGAAGGACTCTACATTTTCCTCTCACACCCTGGAAGGTTTGCTGCTCCTATTTGTCGGCACGGTATTCCGTTCACACATGGGTGATCAGTCCCAAACCCTCCTTTTCTCTCTGTAACAACAGGATGCTAGCTGCTGCCTCACTTTTGCTTCCTCTTGTTTTCTCCTTCTTTCTTTTCCATTCTTTCCCTCTCTGTAACACCCGAGGATGTCATTACCCCCACAGATGTTTCGCTCCAGTCCTCTTATGACAAGTCAACACAAAAGCTCCACAACTCCGGAGGTAGAATTTAGAATTGACTACCTAAAACAAAGCACGCATGTAATTTCCACCTCGAGACCTTGCCAGACAAATAGTGGCCCCAGTTTTTTCCTCTCCGTCTCTCTCTGTTATTCTTCTGTTATTCCCTAATTGGTATGGCATTCATGGCTGGAGCGCAACAGTTATTTCCATCCACTTGTTTTTCTCTCAACACATCACCTTTGCTGGCACTGGTTCCCAAACAACAGGGCTCTTGCAGAGGATGGAATCTAGCTTCATTGCACACAGACGCCTGGAGGAAACAATAGATGCTAATTTGCTAATGACATTACTGTGGAGGTTATTAAAGCATCAGCAGAGAGGCAGGAAGCATCTTCTTCAGGGGGAGCAGCTCGATTGCTCCCAACCTGGACTGCAGTGAAATATTGCTGGGAAAAGATGTTGATGCCACTGTGCTGTCCTGAGGGAAGTGCCTCTTTTGAGGAGCAATCACCATAATGATGATCTCACCAGTTGCCCATGGGCCAATCTGTTGGCTTTTATTAACACCACCGCACAAGCATACACTCTCAAACACCAAATGGAACAAAGGTTGCTGTGACTACTGAGGTGGTCACCATGGCACTGTGATGGCTGCTTTTGGTAGTATGGCAGCTCAGCCGTCTCCCTACCACCCTCATTTCTGGGTGCAGTGCCAAAAAGGGTTTTAGAGCAGCTTGCTTTCAACTGCCTCAAGCAGACATAGCATAAACAGTCTGAATCTTTCTCCTTATTTTGATAATGTTAACAGTGCTGGTATGTATTCTGAATTGAATGGGTTTTGAAAAAAAATGCTGGTCAATCAGGTTTTAACTGTATTTGATAATAATGACTTGCTATCATAGTATTATGGTCTCTTGGTACACCAGTAGAGTGTGCTAGGCTTACATGCTCATACGGGGGAAAAGGCTGGCTGACAACTCCCACCACACTAAGGCCACCTCACTGGCGTGCAACAACAGTAACTCCTGTCTCCGTTAGGCAGATTCAAACTAGTCGTCTCTGCGTAAAAACAGATCATTCACTTGTGTTCCTTTTTTGGATACGAGTGAGGGTGAGAATGTTAAGTGTTTCTTTTTTCTGTTACATGAACCACAAACATACACTCGACATCCCTTTTCACTCAAAATGGGGGAGCGTGTGTCTTCTCCACTGTGTCCTTGGTTTGGTGATAGCTTAGAGAACAAATGCATGTGCATATTCACAGACCATTTTCTATTCATATACACTTTTCTGCCCACACTCACTGGAACTATAATGTTGTGCTCTTCAGTATAAATTGCATGATAGACTTCACCAAAAGAGTCGACATTAGTTTTCCCGTACTGGAAGATCACCTTGACCATTCACTGACAGAAGCCTCCATTTTGGACTTAGGGCTGCTTTTATGTTGGTATTGATCAGCGACGCTATCTGTTATCGATTTCTCTGCTGCACTACTACGTTTGATAGATTGATTGGCAGCCCGTAGCTAGAGACCAATTTGTCAAGGAGCATTGGACCTTGTCAGAGAAGAGCACCATTATGTCCCAATCATGGATAGCCAACAATCCCAGGGGTGTGTGGGGGTAGACGGATAGAAAGAGAGAGAGAGAGAGAGAGAGAGAGCGTGTCCATATGTGTGTGGGTAGAGGTTATAGTCGTGTTGCCTATTCACGGTTGGCTTGTGGCCCCTAAGTACCTGCAAGACTGAGCCTGTGTCTCGACTCCCCCGTGGGTTATGGCAGCGCTGATTAAAGCCCACCTTAAAGTGGAGAATGATCATAGGCGGTTTCACCAAGTTGCTTTTCATTTTGCTTTTAATTTCAACTCTCATTATGGGTAGGCCGTTGACATTCAAATAAACATGTTTGCATATGTTTTTTTTTTTTTCCTTTTTCTTTCAGTTTGTTGCAGAAGAGCTCCATCCTCCAAATGGCTGTGATTCAGCTGCTGCACATGATGATTTGTGCCCCCAGTAATTATACCTTCCTCGTGCTGGGAGAGAGAGAGAGTAGGGAGAAGAAAAACCTGTTGTTATTCTTAAATCCCCACTCGATGCTGGCTTAATCATTGTCTGCCTTGTCTTCGGAATGGCTGTAATTGAAACATTAGCTGTTCGGGTCTATATACAGCATGTGGGCGGATCGCGTGCGCCCTGTGGACGGTTTTTAATCATAAGCCTCGATCACAAGCCGAAGCAACTTGTGTGTACTTCACTTCTTCTTTGTTTATTTGTTTTCTTGTTCTCCTCTTCTTTTTCTGCACGTTTCTTGCATTTCAGCTGCATCACTTTCATGTGTTTTTACGGCAGTTTGTGCCGCTGTAAAATCACTATGTCAAAAGCAAGCGATCCATTAGCCAGTGCTATTGACTTTCCTTAAAGCGACGCCATCCTCCACAGCCAAGAACCCATGTTGTATTCACAAGCAGGCTCCGTGTTGACTTGATACCTGCTATGTACTTAGTGCTTTTCAACTCCAGTCCCGGGCTAAGAGACAGGCAACCATAAGGAAGCATTTGCTCAAATGTATTGACCACTTTCATGAATTTTTCATTGGCTGCTCAAGGCGATGGGTTGCCAGCTGGGTGGGTTGTGAAGATGAGGCGCCCATTCGATGCTGCTGACCACACACACACACACACACACACACCCACCCATGGGCTAGCACCGCATTTTAAAGGTTTATCTCCTTGAACCTTTTAAACACCTGAGTGATACTATACTTTAGAGGCCCTCGCCACATCTCTATCACTGCTATGACTCACCCAACATTAGACCCCAGGCCCAAAACTGCTTCTGACTGGCGTTGTCCTTAGCAACAACTTGAGCCACAGCTTATTCTCTCTCTCTCTCTCTCT